GCTGAAAGAGGTTTCCGGGTGCGGGAGTTTCTCGCTGCATTGAAGACCCATTGGTGGCCTTCGGCTGTTGTCTGCTCTATGGATGGGTTGTTGTCTCTTTGACACATTCCCCATTTTCATTCTCAATTTTATTACCTTATACATATATGTAGTTAAAATCACATTTCATGATAAAATTAAATTCTTACCCATTCATATGAGTTTCCTTATTTGGTAAGTACCTAAGGATGTAAATATATAATATTAGTAAAAAAATCTGCAAAATTCCACAAGGACTTAATAAAAATAATTTTGAAAAATTAAAGAAATTCTCTACAAAAAATGTTTTCAAAATAAAAAGTAACTCTACATTGATTCAATTCATTGTGAAACTCAATAAGACATATTTTACTTGAAATTTTGTCACAGTATACTGTATTATATTTCATTATTATTATTTCTTTTGTCATTTTTAAAATTCTATATTATTTATTTGAAGTGAGTGATTTTACCCCTCCATGGCGTCCTTCCATTGAGATTCAAACCAGTCTCCAGAACTTTTAGGACGTCTATGCCTAGACCGGACAGGCGAAACATCAGATTCACTGCCACTGTCTACTTCTCTTCTAAAAATATCAAATACTATACTATAAACCAACTTATTTTTGTCAGCTATTTATTTTTGCAAATTTTACTCAAATAAAAAATAGTTATGATAATATCAACCTTGGATCTTCTCTATAATAAATCCATCAACAAAGTTAGGAAACCAGGAAACTTAAATTAGAGTTACATATGAAAACAAGAATGTGTCCATGGTACACGGATGCCCCACTCGCACAATCATTTTCTATGTTCAGTAGACCGTAAAATTGGGGTCAAAACTCTAATTTGGCATTAAAATTAGAAAGATCATATCATGGGGAACATGTGTACTAAGTTGTGTATTAAGTTTCAAGTTGATTGGACTTCAACTTCATCAAAAACTACAACCAATTTTTGATAATGGGATCCAAAATCTAAATACACTTAGATTCAGCATATTAAAGAACCCCACATATTCAATTTTTGTTGAAATCAAATAAAATTTAATTCTGGACCCGATTTGGACCAACTTGAAAACTGGACCCAAAATTAAATATTTAAATACATGTTTAGATTCAGCATATCAAAGAACCCAATATATTCAATTTTTGTTAAAATCAAACTTATATTAATTTTGGACCCTTTGGACCTCAATGTGGACCAATTCGAAAATGGGGCCCAAAATCCAAAATCTAAATACATGATTAGATTCAGCTTATTAAAGAACCCCAAGAATTCAAGACTTCAAGAATTCAAACCCCATTGAAAATGGTCAAGAAGTAAGGAATATAAAAAAGTATTAGAAAAGTATTGTTTTTGGCCCCTTTTTCCTAAATGATTAGGGCCATAACCCCCAAAATCAATCCTTATCTTCCTTTTTTTGGAAAATTGTGGTACAATTTCATAGAGATCCATAGACTTATACTCAAATTATTGTCCAGAAATCAGAAAATCCTAGGGTTTTTTCTTTGCCCATTTTTCCTAAACGGTTAGGGCCATAACCCCTCAAAATCAATCCCAACCTTCCTTTTTTGGAACCTTGCGGTACAATTCCATAGAGATCAATAGACTTATACTCAACTTATTGTCCAGAAACCAGAAAATCCTTGTTTTTTTTTGGCTCCCAATTCCTAAACGATTTGGACCGTAACCCCTAAAATTAATCAGTACCTTACTTTTGTGGTATTGAACCTTGTTGTACAATTTCATAGAGATCCTTACATTCATACTCGTTATTGCCTGGAAACCAAATGTCTTCTGACAACGACAACGAGGACGACATCACCATATTATTACACATCCACAAATTTTTGCAGTCGTATAAACACAATATAAAACCTTTTTTTCGCTAGAACAATATTTTACCTTATTTTTCAGAAAACAATATTTTACCTTATTCTCCTAGAGAATGAGACATCACTTTCATTATCTGATCCTTTATTTTTAGGAAAATATCTGAAAAAAATCATATAATTACTCAATAGAAAATGAAAGGATATGGAGTAAATGTACATGGGACAAAATCGCACACAATACATAGAAAACATAGAAAATTATCAATGAACAGGGCTTTAATTCCTGTTCTTGATCTTGACAGTTGATGTAGGGTCTTCAACAATGAACAAATCATTCATACCCTACAACAAGGTCAAATACATGCATATTCAAAATGTTTATGAAATTCAAATTTTAATAGCAGCACAAATGTTTTGTTAATAAAGCATAACTTAGGAAATATATGAGTTATGTATTAAAGAAATTTTGGTTCATTTTCCTTTACATTTTGCTTTGGAAATGTGAATGAAATGAACAAAAGCAGGACTTAAAATCTAACTACATGTATATCCACAAAATTTAAGAGCTGCAAGAGAGTATGAATGAGAAAAGAACTGGTTTCGTATCTGGTATTTGTAAATAGTTATAACAGACACAAACATGTTGTAATACATATATATATAGGAAAAAAATAAGACTGAAAATGCACTAAATATTTATACCCAGTTTCTGGTGGGGTTTGTGTTGCTTAGTCTTTGGTTTTCTATGTATTTGTGTACTGTTGTCTGTTTGTCTTTTTCTTTTTTAGCCATGGCATTGTCAGTTTATTTTCTACTTATGAGTTTGAATGTCCCTTTGGTATCCTTCGCCTCTCTTTTTATATTCAATATGAATAATCATATTTTGCCGTTAAAGACATCAAATTGTTTCAGCCTTATTATTTTTCTATTTTATGCACAGGGTGGACAAAACAGTATCTTCTAATGACCTCTATTCCTGGATGTTTAAATCTATTGTCAGAATGTAAAAAGTTGTTCTTTCTTCTGTAGATGGTAATTGAGGAAATTTAACTTTCAGAGTGGCATCCCAGGTTACCACTTAGTTTACTTATGTACAGACTTACTTTCTCCGATGGCCACTTTCTGTATCACTGCCTTGACCTTGGGACTTTTTGGGAAATTTATTGGCATCACTATACATGGAAACAGGGGAATCCCGACCAGATGTGTATAAACCACTGAAAAACAAAGCATGTATATAGAAACAGGGAAATCCCTACCAGATGTGTATAAACCACTGAAAAACATAGCATGTATATAGAAACAGGGAAATCCCTACCAGATGTGTATAAACCACTGAAAAACATAGCATGTATATAGAAACAGGGAAATCCCGACCAGATGTGTATAAACCACTGAAAAACATAGCATGTATATAGAAACAGGGAAATCCCTACCAGATGTGTATAAACCACTGAAAAACATAGCATGTATATAGAAACAGGGAAATCCCGACCAGATGTGTATAAACCACTGAAAAACATAGCATGTATATAGATACAGAGGAATTGGCCCAGATGTGTATAATCCACTGAAAAACATAGCATGTATATAGATACAGAGGAATTGGGCCAGATGTGTATAAACCACTGAAAAACATAGCATGTATATAGATACAGAGGAATTGGCCCAGATGTGTATAATCCACTGAAAAACATAGCATGTATATAGATACAGAGGAATTGGGCCAGATGTGTATAATCCACTGAAAAACATAGCATGTATATAGATACAGAGGAATTGGCCCAGATGTGTATAATCCACTGAAAAACATAGCATGTATAAAGATACAGAGGAATTGGGCCAGATGTGTATAATCCACTGAAAAACATAGCATATATATAGATACAGAGGAATTGGGCCAGATGTGTATAATCCACTGAAAAACATAGCATGTATATAGATACAGAGGAATTAGCCCAGATGTGTTTAATCCACTGAAAAACATACCATATATATAGATACAGAGGAATTGGGCCAGATGTGTATAATCCACTGAAAAACATAGCATGTATATAGAAACAGGGGAATCCCTACCAGATGTGTATAATCCACAGAAAAACATAGCATGTATATAGAAACAGGGGAATCCCAACCAGATGTGTATAATCCACTGAAAAAACAGCATATATATAGAAACAAGTGAATCCCTACCAGATGTGTATAATCCACTGAAAAACATACCATATAAATAGAAACAGGGGAATCCCAACCAGATGTGTATAATCCACTAAAAAAACATAGCATACATATAGAAACAGAGGCATTCTAGTTAGGTATATACATGGAAACAGGGGAATCCTGACCAGATGTGTATAAACCACTGAAAAACATAGCATATATATAGATACAGAGGAATTGGCCCAGATGTGTTTAATCCACTGAAAAACATACCATATATATAGATACAGAGGAATTGGGCCAGATGTGTATAATCCACTGATAAACATACCATATATATATAAGCAGAGGCATTCTAGTTAGGTATATACAATCTACCATGTAATTCTGTCAATTTAATTTTTTAATTTGCATATAAATGGAACCTATCAAATATGATAGGTAGAGAATTAATATATATCCAAAACTTATACATGAGACTGCACAAGCCAATTTGAAAAAAAATTGTAAAAAATGCACAAAAAATTGAAACAGTGCACTCATGGAAAGATTCCATATCTAACTCAGATACAACAATATAAATAATAATGCACAATATTAAAATGTTGATGGAAGTTGTCATTCATGGCTTGTAATATTGGGTACCAAACTCGTAAGGCCAAATGAAGTAAATTCTGTAGTTACATTTCAAGTGGAAAACCAGATTCTACTGATACCTTACATGTAATATAATGTATCTCTTCTATCAAATGAAGACATTTTATATCTTACTGTTTCCATTGGTAAAATCTATGTAGCATGAACATATATATATAGTAGATTAAGCACCTACTTACTACAAAATGAAATATGACAATATAGTACCACAAAATGAAATGTGAGAACTTTATAAATATACATACAAACTCTGGGCAGAAAATAAAGGCTGTGAAATTAGAAACAGAGGTAACTCTTTGTAAATCTGTATTTATGATAACTTACACATCTGTGTTCACTTCCCATGGTGCAGACCTGGTACTCTTTGGAGACCCATGTAATTCTGGTAAAGATCTATGCCTAGGCCTTAAACAACAAAACATGAAAATCAATGAACAAATCATTTGAAAATTTTGTTCCAAAAATTATACACAAACCTGAATTTTTTTTTTTTTTAAATATACACTTATATTCATAGCAGACGAAAAATGGTTAAAAAAAATAGAAATAAAAAACACCTCTTCAATTTTTTTTTTTGGTTCTTAATAAGGTGATTTATACAAGGAATGCATGTACAATTGTATTGTGCTGTACATAATTAACATAGAGTGAGCAGAGTGAAAAAGAGTTAAAATGTGTGAATGAACATGTCAAAATATGTAATGCCCGAAAGGTCCCTGTGATTAGGAAAATGAAGATTTGTATTTGTACATCATGTTTTTTATCTATTTTGATAGGTTCTCTCTGGTTATGACTAAAAGTACTCACCCTTTGACATATTCTGGAGCTGCTACCATGGAAACAGATCTGTCATTTTGCATATATGGTAATCCATCTGAAGAAAGCTGAGCTAAAAATAAGTTAGTTGTTATCATTTAGATGGTTAAAAATCAATGACTTTTCAAACATTTGTATTCTACACAAGGAATGATGATTGATCAGGTTGTTATTAAAAGAACAAATTTGACCATCTTTTACTTTAGGAGTCCAAACCCATATAGAGGTATACTAAACTTAACATCACCAGTAACATAAATATAACCCAAGCCCAAACACTAGCCATAACCCTAAATCTAACCCTAGTCAAAACCATAAAACTAATCTCTACCTAACCCTTACCCTGAAGTACAGGGATTTTAAGGGAATAAGATACAGTTTTGATCCCACGGTTTTTGACAACAATTTCCAAATACCCTGCACAATATCATCAGACCGGAACAAAATTTGAACTTGATCTGCAACTTGTCAAGATAAAACTATATATTAAGTATCAAATCAATATCTTCAAGCATGACGAAAAAAAGTGTGGAAAACTGATTATTTGGTTGAATTTTCCAAGTCCGAGGACCATAACTCTGCACAAAAATCAGACAGGAACAAAATTCGAACTTGATCTGTAACTTGTCATGATAAAACTATATACCAAATATCAAATCAATATCTGCAAGCATGAAGAAAAAAGTGTGGAAAACTGATTTGCCAGATTGACAGATGGAAGAACAGACAGACAGACGGAGTGCAAACCTAAAGTCCTCTTCGACTTCGTCGGTAGGTTAATGAAAATATAACTTCATGTGCTACTTTTAAAGATAAATGGGGACAATACACATAAATTGGTTAAAAGAAACTCTTATCTGTTCATGAAAACATTTGGATGGTTATCATTATTGATAAAACAGTAGAAAAATGTGTGGTTAAAATAGTCAAATAAAAATACTCCATTTATTTAACTGGAACTATTTCCCCTCAATCTTACACTTCTCTCATGCTATTGTGTCCATTTCTAATTTCATTAAAAAAAGTATATATTTTTTTTGTTTCGTTAAAATGAATGAAATATTTGCCAATGCCCATTATGAAACTAGCAATCAATCATTTTAACAGTTCCATCATGCTTTGCCTGGTTAGCTGTACCTTTGGTAATTCTTCTTTTGGTAGTATTTAATTACAAATTACTTTATCAATGTTCTTAGATGAAGACATATGCATGTTTTTTTGTACAATAGTGAAACTTCAGGTTAGTTTAAAAAACAGGAACTTGACAAAATTGACTTACAGCTAAGTCTGGAATCTGAAGTTGTCCTTCTTGGGTAGCGTTTACTATGTGCCCTTGGTACGTCAGGCTGGGATCGACCAGACTCTGATTGTGTGTCTCTTGATTGGCGACCACTAAAATATTATAAAAAAATTTGCTATCGTCATATATACAAGTATAGTTATCTGGAAATTTTGTGTTAAAAACTATATTTTTTTTCCAGAAAACTATTATATTAGTGATCTTTTGAAGGAATAAACTTCATACCGAGTATTTTGTTATAATTATAACTGCAGCTGAATCAATAATTTTTAATATTACAATCATAATTTCTAATAGTACTAGCAAATTCTAGCTTTGTCATTATAATGTTTTAGTATGATAACTACACTTTTGTTTTTTTAAATAGAAGATTTGAGGCTAAGTTTCTTCTGTATTATATAATTTGAATTCTACAAATATCTTTCTTTTATACATGTTTTATTACTATTCTTTAGATTTGTTACTGTAAAAAAAATATTTTTTTTTGTCTGGTATAAAATAAAAAATAACTTGATTTAATCAGCATCATATACTTGTTACTACAGAACATCAATAATTTTACAAATGCAATTTTATTATTTTAAATTATTGTATATACATGTACTAAAAATATTTTTTAAAAAATGCAAACATGCTGTGACTAAGTAAATTGGATTCCAAGAAAAAATAGCAGTACAGATTGTATTTTTTTAATTCAATATCGTATCATCAGTAGAAAATTAAAGCATCTACAACTGAAAGAAAATTAAAAATCATGCTACCCAAGCACTATTTTGTGTTCTGTGTTATGGGGAAGCTTTAAATGTCTTACCTTTTACTCCTTCTAGAGCTTGACCTGAAGTGTTTTCCTGATATAGATAATGCATCTGCCACTTGGTTTAGTCTAGCATGAGAATAGCACATGAAAATGAAGTGATAAATAATGTTAACATGAGATGATGATCGATGGAAATAATATAAAAATAGAAGAATCATGGCTCTATCAAATCTACAAGCTTGAGTTTTTATTCATTTTTATCTTGTAATTACATGAAATCAATGTTGCTCATAAATGGATGATGTCTGAAAATGTCTGCTTTCAAGTTTTTACAGCTGAAAATGTAATTGTATCCTTGTACACAGGTTATTACTGTCAACGGCCACCAAATGTATTGTTCGTAGCTACACTATAATTACATGACAGGAATCCAGTTGATTGTACCATGTGATGCATTGCAACTGCTACTGGATCCCTGCTTTATAATTTTACATAAGCCATGAGGTGCTACTTATTAACAGCAATATCCAGTGTATTGGAATGTAGAGTGAATATTTTCAAAGGAACATTTTATGCAAGTTCAGGAAGAGCTTTTATAGGCTAGAACACAATATGTTAATGTATTGTAATCAAATGAAATTCCAATATCAGTATTTATTTATTGTATTTCACTTTCTTCTACTACAATGATGACATTGTCCACTATCAAATACCATCCAATAATATAAGGCTTAACTCTCCTTAACTCTTGAATAAAAGTTAACCATTCATTCCTTACAATGTTTTCCAATTTTTTTCTTTCTTAATATGAATAAATTAATTCAATTTGTAGTTTTGACAGATAATAAATGAATAAAACAATTTCAATGTATCATTTTATTTGTATCATTTGAATGAAAATATACAATAGAAACAGTACTTTACTATCATACCATAAAAATAAATTTAACAATTTTATATGGAATGCATGATAAAATGACACATTGGAATTTGTCTTGCAACTACTCTACAGATAAACGTATTCTACTAAAACACACAAAGCATATAAATAGTAAATAAGTGAGAAACACACCAGATAGAATCTGATAGACAATTAAATAGTGTTACTAGGCATTGTTTTCACAGGGATGTGATATATGTTAAGTGCAATAAATACAAATTTTCAGAAAACTGAAGATTAAATTATTCCCCTTTCAAAGAATCATATCCTTCAATAGACTGAAAACCATATGCTTTTCATCTTGTGCTTATCGTGTGTTCATTTTTTTTTTATCATACTAAGTTTTTTATTTCAATGTTCATCTTTTGCATCATATCTAATTTTTAATATTTTCTTTTTAATTTCTTTGTTGTTGTCAACCTTATTAAACAAAAAATAATGGCCGTCAATCAACCAACAATAAAACACATAAAAAATCTCAATCATGACTATATTCTATTCTTAGGTTAAAAAGTGTGACTGATGTTTTGCAATATCTGATTTTAACACGGATTTGCATTGCAAAATTTTATTTTAAACTGAATTGTTATGATTTTAATTTGAATTTGTATTGTTTAAGGAATGTGTTAGGGAGAAAAATGTCTTCCAATTTAATTTTACTTTATCTTGTTGTTGTCCTCCATCTATGCCAATACAATTATATGAAACTTGGAAAAAAATCTTTCTATTTTACACAGTTTAATATCATATGTGCAATACATTTGAATGAAACTTTTTGCAGAATATGTTTGTAAAGCTTCAATACAGTTATGTGGGAATGTTTGTGCACCTGTGTACAGGTGTTAATGTTTACCTGAAGAATGCATGATGTTCCACACAACATTTCCACAGATGTTTACATGCTGCCTTGGTTCCTAACTCAAAGGCATAAGTATGCTCTTCACTCTGAAAACAGAAAAAGTATAAGTATGCTGTTCACTCTAAAAACAGAAAAAGTATAAGTATGCTCTTCACTCTGAAAACAGACAAGGCATAAGTATGCTCTTCACTCTGAAAACAGACAAGGCATAAGTATGCTCTTCACTCTAAAAACAGACAAGGCATAAGTATACTCTGCACTCTGAAAACAGACAAGGCATAAGTATGCTCTTCACTCTGAAAACAGACAAGGCATAAGTATGCTGTTCACTCTGAAAACAGAAAAAGTATAAGTATGCTCTTCACTCTGAAAACAGACAAGGCATAAGTATGCTGTTCACTCTAAAAACAGACAAGGCATAAGTATGCTCTTCACTCTGAAAACAGGAAAAGTATAAGTATGCTGTTCACTCTAAAAACAGACAAGGCATAAGTATGCTCTTCACTCTGAAAACAGACAAGGCATAAGTATGCTCTTCACTCTGAAAACAGAAAAAGTATAAGTATGCTGTTCACTCTAAAAACAGACAAGGCATAAGTATGCTCTTCACTCTGAAAACAGACAAGGCATAAGTATGCTCTTCACTCTAAAAACAGACAAGGCATAAGTATGCTCTTCACTCTGAAAACAGACAAGGCATAAGTATGCTGTTCACTCTGAAAACAGAAAAAGTATAAGTATGCTCTTCACTCTGAAAACAGACAAGGCATAAGTATGCTGTTCACTCTAAAAACAGACAAGGCATAAGTATGCTCTTCACTCTGAAAACAGGAAAAGTATAAGTATGCTGTTCACTCTAAAAACAGACAAGGCATAAGTATGCTCTTCACTCTGAAAACAGACAAGGCATAAGTATGCTCTTCACTCTGAAAACAGAAAAAGTATAAGTATGCTGTTCACTCTAAAAACAGACAAGGCATAAGTATGCTCTTCACTCTGAAAACAGGAAAAGTATAAGTATGCTGTTCACTCTAAAAACAGACAAGGCATAAGTATGCTCTTCACTCTGAAAACAGACAAGGCATAAGTATGCTCTTCACTCTGAAAACAGAAAAAGTATAAGTATGCTGTTCACTCTAAAAACAGACAAGGCATAAGTATGCTCTTCACTCTGAAAACAGACAAGGCATAAGTATGCTCTTCACTCTGAAAACAGACAAGGCATAAGTATGCTCTTCACTCTGAAAACAGAAAAAGTATAAGTATGCTGTTCACTCTAAAAACAGACAAGGCATAAGTATGCTCTTCACTCTGAAAACAGACAAGGCATAAGTATGCTCTTCACTCTGAAAACAGAAAAAAGTATAAGTATGCTGTTCACTCTAAAAACAGACAAGGCATAAGTATGCTCTTCACTCTGAAAACAGACAAGGCATAAGTATGCTGTTCACTCTAAAAACAGACAAGGCATAAGTATGCTCTTCACTCTGAAAACAGACAAGGCATAAGTATGCTCTTCACTCTGAAAACAGACAGGCATAAGTATGCTCTTCACTCTAAAAACAGACAAGGCATAAGTATGCTCTTCACTCTGAAAACAGGAAAAGTATAAGTATGCTCTGCACTCTAAAAACAGACAAGGCATAAGTATGCTGTTCACTCTAAAAACATACAAGGTGTAAGTATGCTCTTCACTCTGAAAACAGAAAAAGTATAAGTATATTCTGCACTCTGAAAACAGACAAGGCATAAGTATGGTATTCACTCTAAAAAAAGACAAGGCATAAGTATGCTCTTCACTCTGAAAACAGAAAAAGTATAAGTATACTCTGCACTCTAAAAACAGACAAGGCATATGTATGCTATTGACTCTAAAAACAGACAAGGCATAAGTATGCTGTTCACTCTAAAAACAGACAAGGCATAAGTATGCTCTTCACTCTAAAAACAGACAAGGCATAAGTATGCTATTGACTCTAAAAACAGACAAGGCATATGTATGCTCTTCACTCTGAAAACAGAAAAAGTATAAGTATACTCTGCACTCTAAAAACAGACAAGGCATATGTATGCTATTGACTCTAAAAACAGACAAGGCATAAGTATGCTGTTCACTCTAAAAACAGACAAGGCATAAGTATGCTCTTCACTCTAAAAACAGACAAGGCATAAGTATGCTATTGACTCTAAAAACAGACAAGGCATAAGTATGCTGTTCACTCTAAAAACAGACAAGGCATAAGTATGCTCTTCACTCTAAAAACAGACAAGGCATAAGTATGCTCTTCACTCTAAAAAAAGACAAGGCATAAGTATGCTCTTCACTCTGAAAACAGAAAAAGTATAAGTATGCTCTTCACTCTAAAAACATACAAGGTGTAAGTATGCTCTTCACTCTGAAAACAGAAAAAGTATAAGTATATTCTGCACTCTGAAAACAGACAAGGCATAAGTATGGTATTCACTCTAAAAAAAGACAAGGCATAAGTATGCTCTTCACTCTAAAAACAGAAAAGGTATATTCCCGGAGAACTTTTGCAAATTGTTTTAGTTTTTTCAATTGGTAGAATTATCTTTCTTGCGGCAATTAGAAATAGCAGATTCCGGCGCTGTAAATTTGAAAAAAAAACATTCAAAATATGTTTATATTTGTGAAGAAATAAGTTGGTGATACAATTTTCAATGGAAACAGAAGAGTGTGGAACATGAGGAATTCACTAAATCAGCTCCTATTGCGTGATCATGCTTGCACAGGTTCTGATTTTCATTTTGACTTCCATACTGAACACATATATTTTTCTTCATGATTATTTAGGTGGTTTAAAACATTAAAATGACATTTGTTAAAAGTTGAAATGACAATCTTGTGCAAAAATTTAGTGACTGCTGACCGCATTAGACAGATAACTGCTGAAACAAGTTAAATTATATAGAGAAAATATTTGGGAGGGTCTGAAAGTGATTGTTAGAGGCAAGTGAATGCTGAAACGAGGTGACTATCAAGGCAGGTTTGACTGTAAATAGACTGAATAATATTCTTTGACTTCTGATGCAGGAATACAAAAGTTAAGAAAATATATTATTTTTTTATTGAATGCTCCAATAAAAACTTTAACTATGAGAACTAGCAAAAGGATAACCCACACAGCAATACTATTTGTACATTAATTATCTCCCCTTTGACATAAGGACAGGGATATAACTTCTTTATTCAAATTCTCAGATAGTGTTCTACAACTGTGTAAATTTTATCAATGTCCATGTAGCTGCTTAGGAGGAGTTTCTCTTACAAGAGTCTAATACGACATATTGCAATATTAAAGTAACGTAAATTTGATTTTCTCCCTTTTTAAGTGTTTCATAACTGTGTAAATATCTGTCCTTCTTTTGAGAAGAGTCAGCAAGCAAGGCAAAAGGACACACAGACAAGCAGACACACAGATTTCATTCGGTCTATGACTGATACTAATTGACCCCCCCTACCCCCCAAAAAAAACTTGGTTTGCAGAGGGGAGATGGACTTTGTGTCCTTACATCAATTAAATACTTGATTTAATTCTCATTTCATTTTGTTGTTATGGGGGTTAAAAGTCGTCTATGTTTATTGTTTATGCTCAGTGCTAATATTGATTTTGGAATGCCAACATCTAAGGTGCTAACTTTCTGTTCATGTTTTTTTCACTCTGCTATGGATCCCCATATTTTTTTTCTTCAAAATGTCCTTTTTAGGTACTATGTGTGATTTAATGAAACCTTTATCATCAAGTCCATTTAATAAATAATACTTACGTTCTTATCTTTGACTTTTATTATAAATATTTTATGTTTAAAGGTAACTTTGGTTATCCTTGGCCTGAAAATGCAAATTACATCAGAAATAACATATGCAAAGTAAGTTCTTGTATTAGTACAACTAGCTTAAGGTGGTACCAAACACCTTCACTAAAATTAATTTGGCTCGATTAGTTTTTATAAAATTATGACAAAATATTTTCTTTGACCCTTTGACAAAAATATAAAAATTTCAAAAAACTTGAATCACACACTTTATCGGCAAATTTTCATTGGATAAATAGCAGTTTGACAAACACTAATTTTGATCATTGAGAAGCTTAATATTGCATTAACAATAGAACGTGATTAAATTGTTCAGCTGCTTTTTACAGAGTTATCTCCCTGTAGTGTTATGTACCACCTTAAGTGTTTGAGTTAATCAATATCTGGTCAATTGATTTGTTATTCAGTTATAAGAGTAAACATTTAACATGCATTTGATGTTAACAATGGTCAAACAAATTGAGTTTCTTGTGTATGGGATTAATTATTTAATTATTGCAAGACTTGGCCTGAACTTTCTTATGAATTAACAGGATGTAACTAACATATTTTTTTATACTGCTAAAAAACATATTGTTGAAGACGATTCCTTGTTTTCCTTTTCTTGTGTCATTTACCCGAAAATTCTGCTTTAATCAAATAAGTTCAATGATTGCTTTTTTTATGAATTCGTTTCAAAGAATATAAAACCCTAAGCACAATGGAACATTAAATTTAGAATGGGGAGGTGTAGGTTAAAGACAGCCATCTTCTCCCAAAAAATGTGACATATCATTATTTTCAACATGATCTATCAATGAAAATAAAATTATTATATGACTAAAACAAGATGTTGGGTATATGTCAATATTAGAAAGGTGTCTATACATTCTGTCAATGATGCAATGATACAAAAATAGTATAAATTCAGAAATTAATGTGTGAATTTATTATTAGGAATCACTGATTACTGGTAAAAATGGGAGATCTAATTAATGCTAGTGCAAAAAATTTTGTAAAGGAAAATTACTATGGAAATTATGAACGCAAGTTTTTATTATTGCGAACCTGACACTGTTGTATTTTTCAAATTAATAAAAACATCCCAATATTTCTGAAACTTACAGTAAATAAAGTGAAGTACTTACCAGAAGTAGTTTCCCACTTTTGTTTTATTTTTATACACCACAATACCCGTAGGAGTTAGCCCTAAAAAATACTCTTGATTTCCTTCACCCTGAAAATATATAAATCAGTGATAGATTACTTCCTATAACCACCAGTAACATGGATGTGTCACATACTTAGTTAGCTTTAATAAACCATGTTAAGTCAGGGAAATACATCAACCCATCAGGGCTTCCAAAAAATATTTGAGCCAGCCTGACATTATTTTGTCTTATCCTGATTTTAATCCCTTAAGACTTAGCAACAAAAGGCAATCTTGGCGAGCATTATACAAAAAATTATTAACAGAAAAACGTTATAAAACTTGACTTTCTATATAAACTCCATGTTATGACGTAAACTTTTAAATTGAGACTGCATCATTAGAAGTGTGCAACATCAACGTACTAATATTTGCCTTAGACTCTTTATTTGTGCAAAATTATGCTGTCAACCCATTCCAGAAATCAGTTCACAGGAACCCAGAATCAATCCACATGCACCCAATACTATAAAGCTTCCAAAAAATAACCAAAGGATTTCTAAATTAGGATAATTATAAAGGAGGCCAGATATTTGCAATTGTCTTTAACAATTCAATTATTTGTCCCATATCACATCAATTCATATATTGTGATCTTCCTCATAAACTTTATACAATCTTTTTATATTCTTTTCCTGAAATATCTTAGTATGCCATTAAAGCAATTATTTGAAGATTTTAACTGCTTAAATTTAAGCATCAGTAATCTTGAATACTTAACATATTCAGCAAATAGCTAAAGCACTGGATGTTTTTATTTGTTATTTTTCGTGTGCATTGTATATTAATCAGCATATTTGTTATTGTTTCAATAATTTCAGCATATTACCTGTATGCATTAAAATTAAGTTTTCCTTTCAGTAATAAATAGTTTAAAGAAAATGCTAAAAATAAGAGAAACAATGAGAAAAGACAGAAACAAAACAATATACACACACATATATATATAAATCAGACATCAACAAGACACACAGAAATGACATAGAAGTCCTTGTGTATACATAGCACATATAAATGTTTGTTAAGATACAAATGTATGTTGATAATTCAAAAGTGCATAGTTTACCTGTAAAGTGTATGGGAGATTCTGTTGAAGAAGATTATAATGGAATGATCCCTAACATTGTGTTTTTATAGAATAAGGCCAGCATTGTATATATATATGTGGTTCTGGTAACTTATATATCCTATTGTTTTATCCCCTATACTAAATAAAACTGATACTTTTTTTTTTATTTGATGCCTTATATAAAAATTTATCAACATAACAACTGGCACAAGTGACTAATGAAGGAAATAATATTTGTCAAACCAGGTTTCCCAATAATGTGTATGTAAAAGCACTCATCATATAATTTAGGTCTAGCCATTTCATTGTGAAGACCAAAATAACATATATTGTTTCCGGGCAACTAAATAAAATTCATTTTAACTTATTATATTGTCTGCTAGATAAATCAAACTGTCCATGTTATAAACCTACATCAACCTGTATCACTTGTCCACATAGTGAATCTAAATCAACCTGTTCACACACAAATATGGTACGTATCATTAATACAAAATTTGGTAGGTTGACCTCTATTTCTGAATTTGATCACTGGCATGACTTATGTCTTTTAATTTATTCAACATTATCAATTTAATCATAAGCTTTCATAAATGCGATAAAAAGAATTAAGACTGATAATGTTCAGAGATTTGTCACAACCAAAAAATATGGATCTGTCCAAGTCAAATTGTCTCCCTTGATTTAGTTAACCCACATAAAACCTTACCAAAACTGGATGAAGGTCAACACCATACATATCATACCATTTCACTTTGTCTAAAAATTTATACTCAGCTGATGTCGGAACTAGGCCCCTGAAATATAAAATACATGTCATACATTACTGTTAAAAAAAATTCATACAAAAGAGAAAAAAACAGAATGTGTCCATAGTACACGGATGCCCCACTCACACTATCATTTTCTATGTTCAATGGACCATGAAATTGGGGTCAAAACTCTAATTTGGCATTAAAATTAGAAAGATCATATCATAGGGAACATGTGTACTAAGTTTCAAGTTGATTGGACTTCAACTTCATCAAAAACTACCTTGACCAAAAACTTTAACCTGAAGCGGGACAGACGAACAGATGGACGCACAGACCGAAAAACATAATGCCCCTAGGTGGAGCATAAAAACATTAAATCAACAAGCAGCTATTTATTTTCAAGATGTGATGTACAGAAAATTGATACATTTTTCAGGTATAAGAAAATAAGTGTTGACTTTTATTGCACCATCGTCCTGAATATGCATGAAATATTTTCCACTGGACGTTAAGCAACCAACAATCAATCAATCAATTTTATTGCACCAACAAAACATTTTATTATTCCTTTACTCTACTTTAGATATTCATAATTTTAAAGAGAACTATAACATACAAATATAAAATCTTACACTAGTCTCCGATGACAAGCTGATATTCTTTCTTCAAGCTCTTCTGTCTGATTTGGCACAAATCTAAACTCAGATATGTATCCCGGGGAATACCTCTGAGGGTCATAGTCACCAAGCTCAGCTAAAAAAAAGAAATTAGTTTTATCTATCATTACTCTACACTCTGATATATATCCTGGGGAATACCTCTGAGAGTCATAGTCACCTAGCTTGGCTAAAAATAGAAATTATTTCATCTATCTTTATAATGAACTAATGAGATTCAAAGCAATCTATGATAAAAATGGAAAACAACAGGTCTAAAAGACACAAACCACAGCAAAATATATATAGAAATGAGTATAACTATGAATATTATGGGATACAATTATACTCGGCAAAAGTTAAAGTGACTTGAAAACTGACATGTCATCAAGGCCCTGCAAGGCACAGAAAAAAAAAATTAATACTGGTGTTGACAAAGCAATTCATTTTCATGGATATCAATTTCCATAAGTTTTGGCAACAGGAATAATCCGATTAGATTTTAAATTGTTCACTATCAAAATAGGCAGAGCATTATTGTAATAGCCATTCACAAAAGTGAAGGGTCATAAGTTCATCTATACAACAAGTAAACTTAATGTGTTCTTTAATGTGAATTCAGCATAAATCACATCAAAACAATACATTTAATTTTAAACAATCAAATTTCAAAAAGAATGTATTCAAGCTATTTATTAATTTACCTGCAACAGCTAGTCAATTCCTTAATTTTGAGTATCGGAGGGCTTTATTGGTATATTTTTTTCTATATAAAACAGAAGATATGGTATGAGTGCCTGTCTTTTTTCAGTACTTTTTTCAACTCCCTTTTAAAATAAGATGAAGAAGTATGATTGTCAATGAGAGGAATATCCAGCAGAGACAAAACAAGGTAGATGTAAACAAATATTTGTCACTGTACGGCCTTCAACAATGAGCAAAACCAATACTGAATAGTAAGCTATAAAAGGCTGTTACTTTCCTATTCATATTTTATATGTATTGTTAGGTTTTACATAAGGTATTAGACCTAGTCATTTCTATTCTTATTATAGTATAATAAAACTCTCTTACATTGAACTGCATAGGCAAACAATTCTGTGGCTTCATCAAAAGTCAGAGGTAGCCTCCCCTGAAGGATATCTCTTTTTACTTGGAGGAAAAACTGGTATCTACAAAAAAATATTATGTCATAAATAATAGCATGAAAACCTTTTGGAAATTGACTTTCAAATTATATGCACTTTTTAGGCTACTTTTTAGACAATAAAATATAAAAATTGCAGAATACTTTGTATATAAATCAAAAATCAATCTAATGTAAATAAAACCATATATATATAATATATGGGGAGCAGATTCTGTTCACCTTTGAGTTTTGTTGAGTTTTTTGTTGCACAGTCTTTTATTTCTAAACTATTTTTTTAAGGGCTGTTGTCCATGGTGTTGTTTGCCCTTCTTCAATGTATGATTTATTACCACTTGGTATTCTTTCTTTTATATTACCAGGGTTATCTTAGATAGTGATAGAAGATTTTCTTCTACCTAATATATTGGCCATCATATAGATATATACTTCATCTAAAAAAATGAGTCTACACACATAGGATGATATTTAATTCTCATGAAACTAGTGCTTTGTCTGTATTTAGTCAAATTTTCTAAACTCTACACTGTAAATGTATTTAGGTAGTCTAATTGTAATACCTTGTAATTTCTTCTCTGACTTTACATGGATCTGCTGGGTAAAACTTGACACCAAAATATAATGTGTATGGAGTATTGCACACTGTCAAAATAAACAAATACAAAAATACTGAACTAGAGCCATTATTTATACTAACAATTGCAACATGACAGTGCCACTGGTAGAGCAATATCCCCTTACTCTTCAGGAGAACCTCAGATCACCCCCAGTTTTTGGTGTGGTTTGTTTTGCTCAGTAACTAGCTTTCTATATAGTGTTTTTTGTACTTGTTTGTTTTATCACCATCTTCATGGGTTTTTTTTTTGTCTTGACATGGTCAATTTCTCTTGGACTTATGAGTTTTGAATGTCCACTTGGTGTCTTATGTCTCTCTTTTTATTGTAATGAGTGTGTTGTATTAAACAGGACATAAAAAGAATATATGTTCTAAGTTTCATGTTGACCACAAATTCATGATGAACTAGCCTGAATCAAAACTTTAACCTGAAATGGGACAGACCAACAGACGTAAAAAATAAAAATGTAATGTGTATGATAATTTCACACATCCAAAAATAAACTCCTTCGCTGAGCACAGCTGGATACGCCCGCAGAGGTCCAACCCTGAAAGTTGGCGCAAAAATGGACACAATATTCAAGCTTGATACAGGTCTGAATTTGGATTGTAACTAAATATTTGATATATTACAGGTTTCTGAATAAATGTAGTTAAAGAACTTGAAATTGGTTATATGAAGATTTCTTGCTGTTGTGCAATACACTGTGCTGTTGCGCAACACTTAGTAAATCTGTTGTCAGACTATAAACAAATAAAATCATATAACTCGGAAACATAAAATCGAAAATTTATAAAAATCAAAAAGGAGCTTACAAAAATAGATATAAACAATTTACCAAAGTTTCATAAAAAATGCTGAAAAATCCCCCTTTTTGTAATGAATAAAACCCCATAAATCAGAAACGTATAGTCTGAAATTTATAAAAATCAAAAGGGAGCTCATGTTGATAGAAATGAACAATTCACCAAAGTTTCTTGCAAATTGGTGAAATTGTTTTTGAGTTATTGTCTGAAAACTGGAAAATCCCCCCTTTTTTAATGAATAAAACCCCAAAACTCAGAAACGTTAAATCCGAAGTTTTTAAAAAAATGAAAGGGAGCTCATGTCAATAGATATGAACAATTCACAAAAGTTTCATGTAAATTGGTGAAATTTTTTTTGAGTTATTGTCTGAAAACTGGAAAATCCCCCTTTTTTAATGAATAAAACCCAAAAACTCGTAAACGGTAAATCCGAAATTTATAAAAAACGAAAGGGAGCTCACGTCAATAGATATGAACAAATCACAAAAGTTTCATGCAAATTGGTGAAATTATTTTTGAGTTATTGTCCGAAAACTCTAAAATCCCCCCTTTTTTAATGAATAAAACCCCAAAACTGGGAAATGGTAAATCTGAAATTTATAAAAAACAAAAGGGAGCTCACGTCAATAGATATAAATAATTCACCAAAGTTTCATGCATATTGGTTAAAGCGTTTTTGAATTAATGTCTGACATGTTGACGACGGACGGACGGACAGACGGACGGACAGACAGACGGTCAACGGTATACCATAATACGTCCCGTAAACGGGCGTATAAAAACCAAATACATATGGATTGCACCTGCACAAATTAGTTAACCTAGAATATTGATTGATTGTTGGTTGCTTAAAGTCTTGAATTTCATTATGTGACAGATTTATCAATGACATTTATTCAATGTGCATTTAATATATATATTTGGTATGTGTGTATTTTTTCTGAAATGACTTAAGTTGTTAAATTTTGATGGATGTTTTACTTGAAACAGTTTATTTTCTTGTTATAATTGTTGAAAATTATCCATTTAGGAAAAGAAAACAACACTGATAATGTCCCCTTAAAATCTAACTTTTCTACTGAAGTGATGACAAAGATAAATGTTGAAATAAGAGTTGGATAACAAAGATATACTTACATTTTAACTGTGATGATAATGATTTGAATGGATCTAACCAATGCTGTAAAATACAAATTATCTGACTCTTCATATTATAAATCACATCACATACTAACTACATGTACACCAGCAAAATATTCACACTGTTGATAAATTGTGGGGGATAAAACAGACTCCATCTTTATTTTATTGTTGGGCTTCCAGATCAACATTAATGGCTCTAGGCCCCTTTGAACAATATTTTCAGGCTTCAGGCCCTCTGATAGGACTACAGGTACAGGTTACACTGATAGAGCTCCTAGATCCAGAAGATCATGGATTCAGATATTTGGGCTCTGTGCTCCAACAAAACTGCTGAGTCTGTGTTATTACCACAAAAATTTACTTCTTATTTATTGTAAAATGCTTTTTCTTGTAATCTAAATATATGATTGATTGGTAGCAGTTCAACGCCGCATTATAACACATGGGCTACATATATCCAGAGCAAACTTTGTCCAAATAGCACAATTAAAAGTAGACAAAAGATCCATCCACAGATAAAAAGTTTGTTTCATACAAAATATTACACTCTGAATACATGTGTGGATCTTTAAAAACTTGGGAATTTAATTATATCAACAAAAAAGTTGTTACCTGTAAAAAGTCAAGATGGTTTTTTTTTCACCAGACACCTGCACAAAATCATCCTCAATAATCTGTCTGTTATAAATAGCTTTTTTTCTGAGACAATTCAGTTCAACAATATCTTTTAATGAATCTGGTTGTTTCACAAAAAACTCTTTCATTCATATTTGTACTTTGATAACTCCCACTGACTCTTTTTTTTTACTTTTTTCCCCATAGAACTATTTTCTTTATTTGTTATATGTTGACTGTTCCCACATAACTTTTTATTTTCTATTTACTATAATCAGTTAAGTGTCCCTTTTTTATTACAGCAGACCCTTTCTTAGCTTATGAATGGTTGTAGCCTTTCTTTACTGGAGGCACTTTTATAGCTTTTGAATGGTTGTAGTATTTTTTTTTGCTACAGACACTTGCATTGCTTTTGAATGGTTGTAGTATTTTTTTTTGCTGTAGACACTTGTATTGCTTTTGAATGGTTGTAGTTTTTTTGTTTTTTTTGCTGTAGACACTTGCATTGCTTTTAAATGGTTGTAGTATTTTTTTTTGCTGTAGACACTTGCATTGCTTTTGAATGGTTGTAGCATTTTTTTTTGCTGTAGACACTTGCATTGCTTTTGAATGGTTGTAGTATTTTTTTTGCTGTAGACACTTGCATTGCTTTTGAATGGTTGTAGTATTTTTTTTTGCTGTAGACACTTGCATTGCTTTTGAATGGTTGTAGTACTTTTTTTGTTATAGTTTTATTGCTTTTGAATGATTGTATGATATTTTTACTGTAGACACTTTCATTGCTTTTGAATGGTTGTAGGATTTTTTTACTGTATACACTTTCTTAGATTTTGAACGGTCGAGGGATTTTTTTACTGTACACATTTTCATTGCTTTTGAATGGTTGTAGTAATTTTTACTGTACTTACAGTTTGGTCTGAGGTATCAAGATAGCGCAGTCCAAAATAATCTTTTTCTTCTAGATTCAGATAGGAAAATACTTTATCAAGGAGAGAAAGTCCTTTGTGACTACTCTGAAATTGTAAAAAAAAATAACATGTTACAATGGTTATTATCTTAACCAATATATACATATGACAAAACACTTTTATCACAGTCAGAGGTTTCTATCTGACTTCTTTAATATGTTACCAAGACAACAAAGTCTAAAATTATATTTTCATATTCATATTAAAAAATTATGAAAATTTTGAGAGTAAAAATGTGAATTTTCCATCTATTTGTATAAGCTTAAGCTTTTTTCTCCTTTCCTTTAATCAATACCATTTTTTCTTTTTTTTTTTTTTTAGAATCTCTAAAAAGAACGTCCAAAATGTTTATAAAAATTTGTATTGATTTACTTTCCCTCTTTTTAGATGTACATGTATGAGTTTTACAGTATCAACCTAATGGTTTTATATGAACCTGTTTGACTGGGCTCATGTTTACTATAGAACATTGTTATAGTAATCCATACAACTTTCATTAATCTAAATCTAATTGAAGGAAGAGATGTATGAACAACTTTGTCAATTGCAGGAAGAAATGTATGAACAACTTTGTTACTTGCAGGAAGAAATGTATGAACAACTTTGTCTCCTGCATGAAGAAATGTATGAACAACTTTGTCTCTTACAGGAAGAAATGTATGAACAACTTTGTTACTTGCATGAAGAGATGTATGAACAACTTTGTCACTTGCATGAAGAAATGTATGAACAACTTTGTCTCTTGCATGAAGAAATGTATGAACAACTTGGTCTTTTGCATGAAGAAATGTATACACAACTTTGTCACTTGCATGAAGAAATGTATGAACAACTTTGTCACTTGCATGAAGAACTGTATGAACAACTTTGTCACTTGCAGGAAGAAATGTATGAACAACTTTGTTACTTGCAGGAAGAAATGTATGAACAACTTTGTATCTTGCAGGAAGAAATGTATGAACAACTTTGTCTCTTGCATGAAGAAATGTATGAACAACTTTGTCTCTTGCATGAAGAAATGTATGAACAACTTGGTCTCTTGCATGAAGAAATGTATACACAACTTTGTCTCTTGCATGAAGAAATGTATGAACAACTTTGTCACTTGGATGAAGAACTGTATGAACAACTTTGTCACTTGCAGGAAGAACTGTATGAACAACTTTGTCACTTGCATGAAGAAATGTATGAACAACTTTGTCACTTGGATGAAGAACTGTATGAACAACTTTGTCACTTGCAGGAAGAAATGTATGAACAACTTCGTCACTTGCATGTATAAATGTATGAACAACTTTGTCACTTGCAGGAAGAAATATATGAACAACTTTGTTACTTGCAGGAAGAAATGTATGAACAACTTTGTCTCTTGCAGGAAGAAATGTATGAACAACTTTGTCTCTTGCATGAAGAAATGTATGAACAACTTGGTCTCTTGCATGAAGAAATGTATGAACAACTTTGTTACTTGCATGAAGAGATGTATGAACAACTTTGTCACTTGGGCCTTAACATTGCACTGACAATCATCACCAAAAATATAAAATTAGAAAACTACAAATATGTCAAGACCTAATGTCATGATTCTCACAATGATAAAAATCTCATTCACCTTCAACGGTATTTAATTTAATTTTTTATTATAATATCTTTTACTCCTTTTCTATAAATCAATCAGAGCAATTCAAATATGTACAGGTTTTCTATTTAAATTCACTACACCATTACACAAATACTTTTACAATCTTCTCGTTTCTTTATCGACCATGAATGAAATAAATCTCAATACACTGATATGTGTAACCTTATATTCAGTTATTAACTACGAATACAAAATAACGGACTCGTTCTTTCAGTAATACCATCATTTAATTCTTGCTCTATTAAAGAATGACACTCTATTTGATGACACAAATGACATTTAAGGTGCTTTACAAATTCCTGTAATTAGATTGACAAGAGTTGATAGAAATTGAATACATACACTTATTTATTAAATGTAAAGTGATAGCTAAACATTAAACTTATCTAACAAAAACAAATTATTGTTAAAAAAACAATTATCTAAAAGAAAAAAGTTTTTTCATTGAAAAAACTGCAGAAATTGAAAGGATAACCCCCCATATGTATCCCTTCAAATTAGATCGGCAAATGAACAGATAAAACATAGTTCATACAGTATCAGATATATTTCTTACTGACTGTTCCTGATCTAAGACAAAAGTTACAAGCTTTAGACCATAGGATCACGCAAGTGTAATGTTGTTTGTGGTGTTTGGTATTGTTGGGTTGCTGTCTCATTTATGTTTACTCTTTTTTAATGATATGTATACCATAACCAAAATTTTCAACCTCGAAATGATTGCCGAATACTTCTATATTCTTTTTCCCCATCCCATAATACAGTCCAAGCAGGGAACAAGGTTCTTATGTCTATGAATAAGGTGTCAAGACCAACACATGTTAAAAGGGTCCAGCATGACAAATGTGAAACAATTCAAATATAAATATGGAAGAAATTAACAAATGACAACCATGGAAAAACAAACTCCCAACTTAACATAAAGTATGTGGAATGGAAAAGCAGACTCCCAACTTAACATGAAGTATGTGGAATGGAAAACAGACCCCTAACTTAACATAAAGTATGTGGCATGGAAAAACAGACCACATAAAGTATGTGGCATGGAAAAACAGACTCCCAACTTAACATAAAGTATGTGGAATGGAAAAACAGACCCCCAACTTAACATAAAGTATGTGGCATGGAAAAACAGACCACATAAAGTATGTGGCATGGAAAAACAGACTCCCAACTTAACATAAAGTATGTGGAATGGAAAAACAGACCCCCAACTTAACATAAAGTATGTGGAATGGAAAAACAGACCCCCAACTTAACATAAAGCATGTGGCATGGAAAAACAGACTCCCAACTTAACATAAAGTATGTGGAATGGAAAAAACAAACCCTCAACTTAACATAAAGTATGTGGCATGGAAAAACAGACTCCCAACTTAACATTAAGTATGTGGAATGGAAAAACAGACCCCCAACTTAACATAAAGTATGTGGAATGGAAAAACAGACTCCCAACTTAACATAAAGTATGTGGCATGGAAAAACAGACTCCCAACTTAACATAAAGTATGTGGCATGGAAAAACAGATTCCCAACTTAACATAAAGTATGTGGAATGGAAAACAGACCCCCAACTTAACATAAAGTATGTGGCATGGAAAAACAGACCACATAAAGTATGTGGCATGGAAAAACAGACTCCCAACTTAACATAAAGTATGTGGCATGGAAAAACAGACTCCCAACTTAACATAAAGTATGTGGCAGAGTTTAACATAAGAATTAACATTCAAAATTGGCTTAAAAGGGCTTGACTCATCAGATTAGAATGAAGCAGTCAACAAAAAACAACAAAAACACAAAGTACATATAATGTACAGGTCTGTTAGAACTATCAGGTCTGATCTCAAAGTACAAAAATGTACATATAATGTACAGGTCTGAGAGAACTTTCAGTTACTGAAAGCTAGTACAAAGTCAATTTCAACTAATAAATAAACCATGTTCATTCATCATTAAAGAACAGGGTCATAGAATAAATAACCAAATAAAGACTAAATCCCATTACAAATTCATATCTGTTGAACAGGAGTGGGCTTAATATCTAATAACAGTATAAAATCCAAAATGTTTTAAATCTCTCCTTGTTGCTCTAAACACACATTTAAAATATTAAATTAGCACACAAATAGTCAGGTTTATTGTATAAATGAGTAGATCAAGAAGCTTAAGGATCATGTTACAGCAGTTTGTCAATAAAATATGGCTTTACATAAACATGATAGATTGGCATAATAGTTGTTTTCATGTGTTTGATCTGTAATATATCCAGTCTCATGGATTGACTCAAGCTATCATTGTATGAGGTCTTGATACATACTTATTCTACAGGTTTTAGCCAGATTAAAGAATGTAAAAATAAGCTTTGTTTCTATTGACAAATGAGGTGAAATAAACTGATACAAATTATTCTAGACAACTGAGTCTATTCATATTTAATACATTGAGATTTGTGATGTAGAGAATTGAATATGAGTGTATTAAATCATGACACAAAATCCCTACACACTATCAACAAAACAAAAACAAAAGAACAGCAGTTTTATTGCTCTTCTTCATCTTAAAGTGACAATTTAAATACTTGTACACATGATATAAAAACAAAATTAAGTTGTGAAGCAATATCTTTTTTGTGGTTTATTTTGTGTTTAGTCGGAGGATCATTGCTTTTATATGACTGGATGAGTTATGAAAACAGGTGAAATCATAACATTCCACTGGAATACAGTCATGTATCTTGTATTATTGATGAAAGGGTGATGATTTTATGTTTAGAAGGAGATACTGACTTTAACAGATGATGGCCAATCCTCAATTTAAGGTTACAGGGATTATTTTGTTTTCTCGATAATATTTTACAACTGACAAGGATCTGGGGACAGCCCCATGGCTGTCAGAATAAAGGATAAATTTTGTTCATGGAGAGATACTGTCATATGACAGGGGGGCTGTTAAAAATCACCATTGTACTAGCATAGATATAATAGCCATGGCTATTATATCTATGGTACTAGTTTTGTCTTTTCGTGGGGAGTACTATAACTGATAAGAGCCAAACCTCCATCTTAGGCAAGAGGGAAATTAAACATGTAAATATATATGGTTTAGGGGTGGGGATCTTGACCTTTGCAAGTTCTCAAGGGGACTCTCCCTTTATTTCATTTGATTTGGTTTTTTTGTCCCATACAAGAGTATATATGGTTTCGGGGTGGGAATCCTGACAGTTTACAAGTTTTCAAAAAGAAGGGGGGTGGGGTGACCCCCATGGACTTCCCCTATATTTCATTTGATTTGTTTAATTGTCCCATACAAGAATATATATGGTTTTCAAGTGGGGATTAATGTTTAAAATTTTTAAAAAATCATTCTTACAATTTTAATTCATTTTCCACACTCGGGTGCACATCCTGAATCAGTTATTATAGATTGATGCAATACATATAATAAGGATTATGTAACATACATTGAAAGCAATCAATTATGCATTATGTGCAAATTTGTAACATATAAAAATGACATGAAAGGTGACAAATTCACAATGTCAATGATTTTAAGAAATTTAGAGAAGAAAAACCTGCATCTAAGCCAAAACCTATATAGAATAAAATAGTACTGATATTCTCAAATTTCAATCAATTTTCAAAGATTTTTGTTGATCTTTTCAAACTTGTCAATGTGTTTTGAAATACAGATAACATCTAAAAACTTGACATAAATTGAACAAATTAGAGGATTGAATATAAATCTTTTACTATCTGATCAAAATAAAAATATACATAATCTACATATGAATAGGTAGTTAAATTTACATGTAATAAGAGGAGAAATATGCCAGATTTAACAAATATGGTGTTAAAATTACATAATGTCAAATACAATTACACAAATTTAAAAATCTTTCACACTATGGGGTATATTCAAATCTTTATCAATGATCTTTGCATGTAAATCTTGCTCTTTTAAAAATACAATAAGATTTAACTTTTGAAGTTAAATACTCAAAAATTCCCCAAAAACAAAATAAAAAATTATTACATTTTTATTTTGTTCAAAAAATTTTCAAATTAAAGTATTTATACACAAATGTAAATATAGTGTGTTTACACTGGCATGCGGCATGATGCCTTAAATTTTTATTAAATCAAAGTAAGAAAAATATAAATAAAATTCAACATTTAAGTTCTAATAAATCATGCAATACTGTGATATATAAAAGTACAAAGGTAAATATGAGAGAGAGAGAGAGAGAGAAACATGGATAAATGCCAATGGAACAGTAATCCAACAATACAAAACTAACTGTAACAGACACCTAGAGTTCACAACCCTTAGAATGACCTTCAACAATGGACACTTCAAACACAGATATGACAAACTCTTAATTACTAATATTTGAAACAAAACATCAAATTCTCAATTGCTGAAAATCATGAAGAGATATTAAGATTCCTAATTCTGGACAGACGACAAAAACTGTAGTGGTTTTAAACTATTACGAGTACTCAAAACATCCTCTTTATCCTCTGGAACATAAAATAGAATAAAATATCAAACCAGAAAAGGCAGTACTTAAATTTATATACAGATTACACAAAACACAACAAAAATATAAGTTGCATGTGTTGTGTATACTGCTACCCATCTTTGGACATTGACGAAAATTCCTGGCAGATGTGAAGATGGCTTGCATGGTTTAATTCAATATTAAAAAGTTTAAGACCAAATATCACAAAGCATTCTTTTTAGGAAGAGTAACAGATACTAATCAAGGGAAACCATAAAAATCTTTTAATACAGATCAAAAAATAAAATAAAGGGTTTGCCACTTCTGTGTACTAAGATACAATTTGTTTGGTAAAACCACAAAAACTATTTGTTAAAAAATAAAATAGGAGGTTCAGGGCGATTAGGTGAAATAATAAAGATTCGATGAGAGTTTCAATTATTGACCAAGTTACTCATTGAATTAAGAAAAGGGAGTTCAATTGGAAATAAAGATGGGTCTAGCCTACTTTTTGACAATTTTAACCTTAGGACACTCTCTTGATCACCAAATGCTAAATATGTATATGTTCTGTGTAATTTCCATTTCTTTACTTATTATATTATGTATTTCCTGCATTAGGATGTTTATTTAAGTTCTTTATCTCTTCAGAATTATTTGGAACTTTTCAATCCATTTCTTTGATACAATATTTTAACATCAAAACAAAAAAAAATGGGCATATAAATTTTCAGACATAAAAACGTTGTTAGGTGAAACTAGATTTTGATAAATTATAGTTTTATTGTTATATTAAGTACTTCAATTAAATGTTATGCATTAAAAGACAATCACACTTGTTTGTATATATCCACACATTTTTATTCATAACTACACAAGAATTTAAATAGTTTATACATCCCTACCTACAAATTGTATTATAGACAGGTGCTCTAATCAAAATTTAATTCTGTCAGTCATATTGACACAAACAACAGACATAAATTCTCTTTAATCAATATACACCTACTTTTTAAATTCTTTCCTTATATAATATATTGTTATTTACATGAATACACAAAAACATACATTGTAATATTGTTAAATTTTAATGTCTGCAATTTGCCTTCAAAAATATTCAACATTATATAATTATCAATAGCATACAAAGAAAGAATTTTCAATCTATGGTGAAATTGATAAGACATGATTTCTATGTACTGATTATATCCTCTTAAGATCATATTAATCCTTGTTTTTACCTCATTATCATCATAAGTTATTCACTTCTGGGATAGTTTACATTTTTGAATACATGTGCACTGTACATGTACATGTAGGTCAGTATCATGCCATGCAACTTTATTGCAAACAGGCAATAATAATTACATTCCTTCAAAATGTTGTAAGTCATTAATAGTAAAAGCCAGACTCACTTTAAAGGTACTCTTTTTATCTATTTTAGTGATTATAAAAAAAATTGGTTCTTTAACATTGAGGAAGAAATTTATAACAGATGGTTAACATGGTTAAATTAATAACAAATGTCATACACTATCACTACATCTTGCCTTCAGCATAAAATTCAATGGACTGTGAAGATATTCTTTGTACTTTGTAGATCATCATATAAAATATAGACCCAAAAGCATCAAAATAAAACATGGACAGCATTCAGCAGTCAGATACTTCGTTGTTTAAATCTGAAACCAGGTTAATATACATCTGACTCTTTACCATGTCAGAAAATCTTCAAACCTTTATTGACAACAAGCATAAATATGAAAAATAAAAATCTTTTCACAACATAGAAGTCAGCAACTGTAGGTCACCACAAAGCTTCCATCAATAAACAAATCCCATACTGCATAGCAAGTTATAAATTAAAAGACCCTCACATTTCAAATCGAAAACCAACAACCTGATTTACAAAATGTATGTACAAAACAATAAAAGAAAAACAAATTTAACATACAAATGTACATGACGTTGTATAGCAACAAATCAGTCTGCACTGTAACTGTTAGCCACTAGTCTGATGCCCCAGACTAGTAAAATTTTATTTTCAGACTAGTATTCGCAACCGTTGTTTAAACATACAAGAAAAATATTGGAATATTGGTCTTTGCCTCTTCAGACTAGTAGTTGGAAAAGATTTTGGTGCAGACTGACAAATGACAACCACTGAATTACATGCTTCTGTCTTTGGACAGGCACTTAAAGAATGTGTTTTCAGGTTTAAATATGTTCTTTTGTCCAATTATATTGTCATTAAGACAAAGGGATGTTCATTTTTTTTTGTGTACATGTATGAATATAAGGATAACCATAACAGTAGGCATAGATAATAGGGTACATGTAGGTACAATGAAGTGAAACCCTAAACAATTAATTTGAACTGGTAGAAAACATTAAAATGTGCAGTTAATTAGATTGGTGCTGTCTGCTTTATAAGCAGTGGCAAATATCTGATGCATAGTCAGGGCAATAGAGGCAACAACTGATGGTGAATCATTTCCAGATGCCTGATCATTGAGAAAATTAATCACTTGGAATTATACATGTAGGATTTCCAGGTGGATTAATCTTGCAAATTTCTTACTTTCTAAAGGAAGTTGTTTTCAAAATTTCTCCTTTGGAACTATCAAAGTATTTTTGGCAAAAACTAAGTTCAATTATCTGCAGTTAATTTACATGTAGATGTAGAAAATTGGCTTACAGGTTAAACAAAAGCTACACAACAATTGCCAGCTCTTAATTAAAAACTTAAAATTTGATGGTTACAATTTTTTAACTCAACCTTAACCATGTTAACTTAGATTTTTTTAAAACAATGAATTTCATTTATTCTAATGTGATGAAACCTAGGTTGAGCAATGTGTACATGTACACTTATATTTTTGTAAACCTGTAAACTGATTGGTATTACCAGGACACTCTTTCTTATATACTTTATTACAGCTAGCATGTATATTAAATCATATTACATTTTTTACATGTATTAGACTATAATTTTGAGTACAACATGTAAAAGTACAATGTAAGTACTGTCATATATCTCAAAACTATAGTTTTATTAACAATATAAGCTCAGCTGTATTAAACAGTATTACAGTAACATAGACTTTTCTGTTAATATACTTAATTTTTGTTTATTCTGGGTACTGGTTTGCTTGTCCTAATGACCTTCCCAATGGAAAAATTTATGTCACAAAGCAAATGTCTTCATGTCACAATGTCCCATAACATGTATTTATTATGACGAAATGAATCATGAATAAAAGATAGCCATGGAGATTAAGGCAAAGTTCATTCATCTAAGACTAATGTATTAAAAAGAAAGGCGGAAGATACTGTACCAAATCTTCTTTGATTTTATTCAAAATCTACATGTTGTATTTATACCAAAGCTAGTTATAACAACAATAATGATTTTCAAACACAGAACAATAATACCAAATTTTTGCTTTGTAAATACCAATGTTAACAGTAATCATACCTAAATAACACTTAATGATTAATCATCAAATTACAAAAAAAATATTTCATTTAAAAATTCCTGAATTTTTATTATTGAAAATTTGAATATTTTGATAAACAATGATAAATACATCTAAAAATCTTCTAATAAATAACCAGTATTTGAATAAAAATAGGGTGCAAACGAACCCATTGTGCGAACGTGTAGGGTGCCAACGTGTATTGGTAGGGAATGACCCTGATACCGGTCAACTGGGGCAGTTCATTCATAAAATCGAAATTGGAAACTTGTCTATGATAAACATTTGTACATGTACAAACCTTAAATGGAAATAAATTATCTGTTTCATCCAAAAATATAACTTTACAAACAGGTCCACTTTTTGATTCACTTGCCCTATTCGGATTTTGCTTGTCGTTTCTAAGGAATCGTGGTAAAAGTTTCGTCAATCGAAAAGAATGGGACATTTTTGATACAAAAAGTTTGTATCAATTTTTGGAACTGGGTGACCATGAATTTGCATGCTTCGTCCTGGTAAATTTAACTGTTCTTGAATTATTCCGCATTTCTTTCGGTTACATATTCCATAATTTGTCAATTCTTTGCTCTTTCTTGGGCTGATTTTTCACATTTTAAAAGTGTCCAACTTCACCTGTCAACAACTTCGCACCTGTCCGCGGTTACTTCCGGAACTAGCGAGTACACGCTTCAATTCTACATCCGTTTCTTTCTTTTTCCGGTTTCACAACACATCAAAATGGTACAATAACCAACAAATTTAGTATCAGTTAAATATCACTGCCATCCTACTGAAATTTGTTGATTTGATTTCTCTTGAATCCTCAGAGCAATTGAATTTTTGCGATACCTTTTACATTTAAAGAAACTTCACAATAATTTAAAAGTATTTGGATAAAACATGCATCGTTCTCCACTTTTTCTTTTAGATTAAACATTGACATAGAAATTTTAATAAAGTCGGTAAATGCATTCAAATGACTTAGCCTCTGTAGAATTTTTAATCGTTATATACAACAACAATACTAAAAAAAACTGGTGTATGTTTAACGGTGCACTAGTACATGTAAATGCACCATCAGCATTGAAATAAATCATTTATTTATCAAACCCTACTTGTATAAAGTTGAAACAATGGTTTTGCTGACCTTATGTCATCACGATAACCATTTATTGGTGAAGTATACCTTCTCATTGGTTTCTGACAGCATACTCACCTCCAAGTGTGGGAGGTTCGAAATTATCCCAGCTGTGTCAAACCAGAGACTTAGAAATTGGTGTTTGCTGCTTCGCTAAACACACTGCATTTAGGAGTAGAATAAAATAGTGTTTTATTGCTAATTACAGTGCCCAAAGCTGAGCTGAATAATTACATTAAATTTATATACAATGTCAATGATTACGTGAAGTCACTTGCAAGAAAAAAGAACTGTTTTGTGCTCTAAAAAAAGTGTCCTCTTTTTATATATGGTATACTGATGATGAGTTTAAAAGCCTTTTTCTTCTTTTTATTTGCATGATTCTAGTACTTAAATTATTGTGTAGAAAAGATGAACATGTAGCTAGAATACTGGAATATATTTTCTTGTGTAGGAATATTAGAGTGATACATTTTGTAATTGACTTTTCCAATTAAGAAATATGCACGAAAAAGGACATTTATCTGATTCTTTGTGAAAAATAAAAAATAGTGCATTGTACTTTAAATGATATTTTTAATTAATTATAAGAATGACAACACTGTATGATCTGTATGCCCAATATTCATGAGAAACAATGATTTTAATTGGCTGATCATGATTGTCTTCCCTTGGGAAAAATCCATAATCGGGAACAATCATTTTTTTCGTGTAGAATTTCACAAAATCGTGTTTTAGAGCTTTTTTCACGATGGGTCATAATTGTGTAGTTCACGCCTCAATCATGAAAGTTGGCAGGTATGTTATTTGAGATGAAAAAACTCAATTGACTATCATAATTGTAGGAATTGTAGAAAGTTTTTGGGGAAATCTTTATCGGTGAATTGCCAATATTTGTCTGCCCCACAGCATAATTGTCAAAGCTTCCAGACATTACAACACTTTTTCTAAAGCCTGTCTGTATTCTTGGTTTTCAAAAAAAATTAACTTAAATCCTCTCTTCGCCAGGAAAATATGACCTGACTGAATATGCATGAAATGTGCCACTGGATTAATCAAACAACTATTAGTTTGAAATAAATAGGTTTTTTTTATTCATTCAAATCCTGAATTTGTGTTTTATTGCACTGCCGTATCACGCAACTGATCCTTATTATATATAGAATAACCTGCATGTCAGATATTAGTATTATTGTGTTTAGTGAGAAAGACATCTTATCAAATGTCTCTTTCTTTTTATCATTGTCTTAGAAAGAATGATGTAGTTGATAAACATAAAAATTCCAGTGGAATATAAAAGGATTGCTTTTTTGCCAAAGTTTTTACACTTTTAATTTTGATTTAATATTTACAGGAAGTAGACGAAGTTGCATTGGCAGAAAAGAAGAAGAGGCGTACCTTTAGAAAGTATGCCTACAGAGGTGTTGACTTGGACCAGCTGCTTGATATGTCAAAGTAAATATATGGATCTGGTGTAGATCATATGTTTTTATTTGTGTTATTTATAAAGCAACTTTTTGCAAGAAGATAATTGTATGGTACTAAAATCTCTATTTTTGGTTGATTTTGGATGTAACTGTTAAGGTTTTGTAAGAAAAGATTGACAATTATATTCTATATTACTGTTCTACAAGTCTTTTTTAGTCAACTTGAAACATTCTTGTCTTGAAAACAGGGATTTCATACCCCAGGGCCATAAAGGATCCTTATCAAACCTGACCTTTTTCAGTGTATGCATAAGCAAGAACATGAAAATCATGACTGTTTGTCTTTTGAAAAATATTAAATGAGTTGTAAATCTTAAGCAAAATAAAATTCTATTGTAAGAAAATGTAATGATTTGGGGTGTTCTCTGTACTCAATTTGTTGCAATTACTAGTTAATTTGTCCTATTTGAAAAGATGACAGTCATTTTATAAAATCGAAGTCACAGGAAATAAGTGTTTTAAGTTCGTACGTTCAGGTGTCATTCACTGAAATGCTATTTTTCAAAAATTATTTTGATGCAAATATTCTTCTTGATAGGTTAAGTTTGTTTTTGGAGGGGGGAGGGATTGAATATAAATCTTACTAAAAATAGTTATTGCTTCATATTTAATGTCAATTACAATTATTATTAACATTGATACAATTGTGGTTTATTTTCAGTGAGCAGCTGATGGAATTATTTCCCTGCAGAATTCGTAGAAGATTGTCCAAAGGTTTAAAGAGAAAGCCAATGGCACTGATTAAAAGATTAAGGCAGGCAAAAAAAGAAGCTGGACCTCTGGAAAAACCAGAAGTATGAAATGATAAAAATAGATATTGAGTTGATTACAAATGATAAAAATAGATATGGAGTTGAGTACAAATGATAAAAATAGATATTGAGTGGAGTACAAATGATAAAAATATATATTGAGTTGATTACAAATGATAAAAATAGATATTGAGTGGAGTACAAATGATAAAAATAGATATTGAGTTGAGTACAAATAATAAAAATAGGTATTGAGTTGATTACAAATAAAGTGAATGAACTAAAAAGTTATTAGAAATATGTTTTAAGAAATTTACAGAAAAAAAATTAAGTTTCTTTCAAAATGTAAAGAAAAACATAAGTGGTTTGAAATTATTTGTATGTATGGACGCATATAGACTGTGAATTACACCTCTTGAAAAATACTTATGCCATGAATATATTTGCCTATTAGTCATATTAGTCTTGCATTTCCTGTGGGAAAAGATGATATACCGCAAACAAAAGGTGCAAAGGTTTTTGTACACCATATCCGGATTTCGACAATTAATGTCTCTTCAGTGATGTTAGGAACTTATTAGGGAGTTATTTCAAAACTGTCAGTATTAAAGTATAAGAATACATATAAAAATTGTTTGTATACACTCTTTAAGATGTAGGTAATATCAGGGATGGAAAAATACAAATTTAAAAGTGGTAGTCAAGTCTATAATATTGGTTGCCCAGTGCTTAATGATCAAGCAAAAATGTGGAAACTGTAGCCAAGATCAAATGTTAGAGAGAATCAGCTACTGGGTTCTTATGAATTTCAATCCTTGAATATTTACTTGTAAAAATTTGTTTTTTGATAATACCTGAAATTATTATGTTTTGCAAAGTCAAAACATGTCTGAAACATTATTTTTTGTGATTTCCTTGCTATCTTAATAAGGGTTCAACCTTTTATATCAAAAATTGTTCAAAGAAATCGTCTGTGCACAGATGTTAAGTAGCTGTGCAAGGCCTTCAAAATAGTTCCCTAAAAATAAGCAGTAATTAGGAAATAACAAGGCAAATGTGATTTTCAATGTCCATGTAATTGTAATTTAATTAATAGTAAAGTTACAATAACTCCATAAGAGAATACATTGTAGTCCAGAGAAATTCAGGAAGAGAACAAGATATAACTTTTTTACTTACACAAGTAAAACAAATCCAGATGATCAAGGGATATAACTCATATCTAAAATGATATACCTGTACCAGTAAATAATCATTACTTGTGTAAGGACTTTGACTGTGATTCCAAAGAAAATAATTTCTCGTATAACAAAATGTACTAACTTAATCAAAAAGCGATTAAAATTTGAATAATTAGCAATATTAGAGTTAGTTAATGAATAATAAATATAAAATTGTGTCATATGAGAAATATTACTTTTCATATTAAAGAACAGAGTTAAAGAACCTAACTAGATATTGATTCTTGCGATTCTCTAAAATCTCTGTTCTATAAAAGAGAATAATAGTATGTTGGTAATAGAAATAGTGATTTCATAATGACTAACATCTGACCATTTATTTAACAGGTTGTGAAAACTCATTTACGTAACATGATCATTGTCCCAGAGATGATTGGCAGTATCATTGGTGTATACAATGGTAAAACATTCAACCAAGTAGAAATCAAGGTAAGTAGAAGTTAGAAATTCATGTTTGGTATTAATGGTTAGAAAATTCCAGCCATTACAAATCGGAGAGTAGTGTCACCTAGTAGTAATACATCATGAAAAATAAACACACTTCAATATTTATCCTTACAGGACAGATCTGCCATGAAATAAACATTGGGGACAATTCATTTTGGTTTTATTAACTCAAAGAAAGAAAAATACATTTCTTCTTGATGTAAGTGGTCTTGATCTGTTTGAATGATTTTCAGGATCAAACTAGGCTTTTAGCAGGTTGTTAGGGATTTTGTAATAAGAACAAGAAAAAGCAGATTCAACATTCAACCACTGTGGATTCATTATTCATGGGAGACATCTTTCCTGGTTTTTGTGGGTACGGTTAACCACACATTTAAATGCTCAACTTAGTTCAAATTTTTCATATGTTTGTATTCAGACTTTGGCAAAACCAGGATATCAAATATACATGAAAATACAATTTTTCCTTGATCCAAGAAAATTGTTAACGAAAATAAATAAATTCACAGTATTTGAATAGCAAAATCTGTGTTTTAATACCTGTAATATGTGAGATCTAAAATGTTGAATGTTAAATTTACCAAGACAATATAATCGACATGACATACATTTTGTCCAAAAATATCTCAAATGATTTGTATGCCCTTGCCTTAGGCAACAGGGGCATTAAGTGTTATTCTTGTGCCCCAGCCATAGGCAACGGACATAAAGTGTTATCCTTGACTGTTCTTCCGTCCATCTCATTTTCATTTCCACACACTAACTTGTGTTTGTACCATGCAAATTTTATGAAACTCGTACACAATGCTAAGAACCAAAACTAACAGACAGAGATAGAATTTGGGCAGTGAGTCATTTACCGTTCTAGAGTTATGCCCATTTTTAACTCTGAAAATTGCAAAGCTTGAGCAGGGCCTTCGTGTCCTTCGACATATTCTTCTTTTATTTATGAATGAAATTTTTTTATCAGAGCTTTCAACTTTTTCCCTATATTTCAGCCTGAGATGATTGGACATTACCTTGGAGAATTCAGTATCACATACAAACCAGTAAAGCACGGTCGACCAGGTATTGGTGCCACTCACTCTTCAAGATTCATTCCTCTGAAGTGAAAACTGGACATTGTGATGTGAAATAAAAAAATTAAAAAATATTGTCTTATTTATGCCCATCCTGCAACAAATCATGAGGGATGTGAAATAGGCAATGCATAAAGGGTTCCATTAACACCTCATTTGAAGCTGACTATGTCTATTATAGAATAAGTACTTATTTAGTAAATTACTTTTAAACAGAATGTGAGGTGACTCAGGTGAGCAGATCTGACTTTAATTGCTATCATATAAACTGAATCATAGGGCGATTGTGTGAACTGCTGTGTCAGTATCCCTGCATCCGAAATGCAATGACTGAGAAATCCTGAAGATCCAATGACTATAATTTTTCATGGTATTTTGAAAATTGTAGATGTGAGATATAAATCGGTGAAACATCAACACGATAAAATAATAAGGTATTTGATCAAATGTGATCATCATAATTTGTACTATGATATTATTCAAGCAGTTACTAGTATTCATAATTTATAAACAAAGGAAACAAAACCCAACTTTGCAGATGTTTTTTCTGAAAAAGACTGAAATGGCACTACTGTTTTGATCACATATACATACCAGTATATAGTTGATAGGTTACAGAAAAATTGATAGGTTACAGAAAAACCTTTTGTGAATGCTAGATATTTTAAAGATCCTGAGAACTGATGCATCATTTTAAACCATATATCAACAAAATATAGTTGATAGGTTACAGAAAAACCTTTTGTGAATGCTAGATATTTAAAGATCATGAGAACTGATGCATCAGTTTAAACCATATATCAACAAAACATAGTTGATAGGTTACAGAAAAACCTTTGTGAATGCTAGATATCTTAAAGATCCTGAGAATTGATGCATCAGTTTAAACCATATATCAACAAAATATAGTTGATAGGTTACAGAAAAACCTTTGTGAATGCTAGATATCTTAAAGATCCTGAGAATTGATGCATCAGTTTAAACCATATATCAACAAAGTATATTTGTGGTTCTTACCATGAATTGGATGTACTTCTTGAAAGAGTTATAGTCTGGTTGTGGTCAAGCTCAAATGTAGATAAATTGTATAAGGCAACTCTTGTGGCTTGAGGTTGAACTGCTGAATAAAGTATCCTGATTTGAATTGATTTTGCAGATTTAGGTCAATTTAGTGGGATTGCATTGATTAAGAAAGAAGGTCAAAAGAAATGGTATAGCACTGAATTAGATCCAAGTGATGGTGTAACACTGGTTTAGGTCAAAGGAGTGTGATTGCATTGATTTAGGTCAAAAGGAGTGGTATAGCAATGCATGAAATCAAAGTTGTTATAGCACTAATTTAGGTAAAAGAAGAGGGATTGCATTGATTAAGGGCAAAAGAGTGGGATTGCACTGATTAAGGTCGAAGGAGCGAGATTGCATTGATTTAGGTAAAAAAAGAATGGCATAGCAATGCATGAAATCAAAGTTATGTTATAGCACTGATTTAGGTCAAAGGAGAGTGCTTGCATTGATGAAGGGCAAAAGAGTGAGATCACACTAACTGAGCAAGAGAGGGATTGTATTGATTAAGGTAAAAAGGAGTGATTGCATTGGTTTAGGTCAAATAGTGGAATATTGGATAGGGCAAATAAGTGGGATTGTATTGATTTAGGGAACAGGAGTGGGGTTGAATTGATTTAGGGCAAAGGCTTGGGCTTGCATTTGTTTATGGAAAAGGAGTGGGAATGCATTTGTTTTGGTCAAAGGAGTGGGATTGCATTGGTTCAGGTTAAAGAGTTTACTTGTTATTCCATCTTATCGAGAAAAACTCAGTAATTTTGAAAACGATATTCTGTTCCTTATTTTCATTTTTTCCTTTTCGTACTTGTGTTCCAGTGGTCCCTTCTAATCGATGTGTTTATTTCAAACCCTATCTTTATACCCGTGTCTGTAGTAACGTTTTAGATTTCAATGAACACAATTTATGTATAATTGATAAATAAAGTCGTGAATTTCGGTACCGCAAATTCATTTACAAAGTTTTTCCTCGATACGAAGATTTTATTTGGAAGTTTAGATTTTGTTATATTAAATAGACAACCGCCCAGTAAGTAGCCAGTGCTTCGTTATTGGCTTAATTTCAATGATACATTTGTTTCAGATAATAAGCAGAAAAAATAAGTCATGTCGTGAGTTTTCAAATTACTCAGGAAAAGTTTACATTGGATGGTTTTGGACATTATGTTTAAGACCTGTTGGTTTGCATGCCCTCAAACACTAAAAACTTTTAGTTCTTTGGTGTAACCGATGAAGGTTAATATAGAAACACGTGCACACAAAATTCATATCATTGTTTTTTTTTATACGACCGCAAAAAAATTTTTGGGATCGTATAATGGTATGATGTCGTCGTCGTCGTCCGATGACACATTGGTTTCCGGACAATAACTTTAGTTTAAGTGAATGGATCTTTATGAATTTTTTAAAGAAGGTTCAATACCACAAAAGGAAGGTTGGGATTGATTTTGGGGATGATGGTCCCAACCGTTTAGGAATTAGGGGCCCAAAACAAGCATTTTTCTAGTTTTAGGATAATAACTTGTGTATAAGTATTTCTATTGCTCTGAAATTGTACCACAATGTTTAATACCACAAGTAGAAGGATGGGATTCATTTTAGGGGTTATGGGGCCAACAGTTTAGGAATTAAGGGCCAAAAACAAGCATTTTTCTAGTTTCCAGACAATAACTTGTGTGTAAGTGTATGGATCTCTCTGGCATTGTACCACAAGGTTCCATATAACAAAGGGAAGGCTGGGATTGAGTTTGGGGTTAATTGCCCCAAACATGTAGGAATTAGGGGCCAACAACAAGCATTTTTCTAGTTTCCAGACAATAACTTGTGTGTAAGTGTATGGATCTCTCTAAAATTGTACTACAAGGTTTCATACTACAAAAGAAAGGCTGAGATTGAGTTTTGGCGTTATTGCTCCAAGGGGGGTTTCAAAAAGTTGGGGGGGGGGGGAATTTTTTTCCCAATATTTTTTAAGGTTACATATTTTTTTTCTCAAAATTTTTAAAATTTCGAATTTTTGAAGTTTCAAGAAGAAATCTTCAATTTCACAGTATTGCGCAATGGATTTATAAGATCTTTGACCACATTTATTTTGTGTCAGAAACCTATATTATGTCAAAAATTTGATTACAATCCAAATTCAGACAGTATCAAGCTTGAATATTGTGTCCAAATTTGCCCCAACTGTTCAGGGTTCGACCTCTGCGGTCGTATCAGGCTGCGCTCAGCGAAGCATTTTATTAATAATTGTTGAGTGATATCTAAAACACATGCTGACATTCAAGTGTATTCCTAGTGTGTCTTTGGGTTGGTGTTCCATTGTCGTATACCCATATGTCAATCTTTTCACTTGACTATTACTAAAATCCATTATTTTTTTGTTTTGCAATAACCACACAAACAAACATCTTTGACTTTTAGTTTGACTCCACTTTAGCCATTTCCACTGACCAACATCAACGGACTGTTGTTTGATTCAGTAAAGTGGGGTAAACACGTCTAAACATCTACGAAGACAGTCCTTGGCTCATTTAAGGAACCACATACGTTTACTCCAAAACTGTGAAGATCTCGTATTTTATATAAGATGGGAAAATGAATATGAATTACCAGTTTCGTTAGGGAGTTACCATTTGATTTTTATGGGGGGGGGGGGGGGGGGGGGGTGCTACGACGAAAAATTTTGTCCTGCATTTTTTTTAGTTTAAATCTCTGTCCTGCCTTTTTATTTTTCACTCTATTCGGTCCTGCATTTTTTTTTCATTAGTTTATCCTGACTTTTTTTACATAAATTGTCATCCTGCCTTTTTTTGCCAAGTTGCTCATCTTGCCTTTTTTTTAATTAAAACTCCTGTCCTGCCTATTTTTTTTCAAATTTCATCCTAGCCCCCTGCCAATACCGCATTTTGTGCATCCAAAGTTTAAGTTAAGAATGATGGAATCTCTTTGTTGTTGCTGTCTTTTTCAGGAAACACCATACAAGCCCAGGAATATCGTATCAACTGGGAGATATATACTCCGTATGCAAGCGCTGCTGGAATGTTGCTACATAGAAATGGAAAGTCCACAATTGGGAAGCTAACACGATCTCTTTTGTCGTAAAGTTTTGTTTTCAACCGACCCTCATTGACAATCTCTAGATTTTAGTCAAGATATGAGTCAGACTTAACTGTATCTGTTGTATCCTTTATCTCAAGTTCGAGGGATAGATGCGTTCAACATAGTCACCAAATTTTGAATTATTTAGTGAGAGAATATCATCTATATAGCGGAAAGTAAAGTTAAAAGATACTGCTTACTTCTTTTCTTTCTTCATAAGAAGTTCCTTTATGAAGTCAGCCTCATATGAATTAAGGAACAAGTTGGCAAGAAGAGGGGCACAGTTGGTTCCCATTGGAATGCCGATTGTTTGTTGAAAAACACGTCCTCCAAATGTAACAAATATGTTGTCAATCAAGAAATCAAGCATTTTGATAATGTAAGTTTCAGAGAATTTTTTGTTTGAGTCAGAGTGAATTTTTACAAAGTAGGATTTATCCCTCCCCAAGACAAGTTACTGGTATCTACGTTGGCCATTCTTTTTTATGAAACAGGATCAACTCTTTCAATTTGTCTTTTAGTTTGGAATGGGGGAATACTTGTGTAAAGTGTAGAAAAGTCAAATGTTTTAATACTATTGCAAGATGAAAGAGTCTTGAATTGTATGTACTCTAAAAGATCTTTGGAATTTTTTAGCATCTGTATCTGATTCAAGCCACCTCTAGAATAGGTAGTTTCACAATAACTTTAAAGCCCGGCTTTGATTGCTGATAAAATTGATGTTAATAATTTAGAAAGAGGTTTCGTGGAGCACTTGGAAGACCCAGCAATATATAAGGACACTTATGTAGTTTAGGTATCCAATACAGTGAAGGGAAATCCAGTTCTTCATCTTTGGTTGAAATTCCAAAGGAACATAGAACAGACTTATGATTATCCAGGATTTCCTCTTTGGTAAGTGTCGTGGGGGTATATGCTGAGTTTCCAAGTG